GGAAAGAGATTTCTGTTTATCCAAGCCATCCTGAACCTTCAAGACAACCAGGGTAAGAGTTCAGTAGAGAAAAGGGATACAGCATTTCCATTCTGATTTAATATAGTTAGTTCTTTATTTATATGTCTCCCAAACCTTAATTGGACCATGTTCCAGCTACCATAAAACACAGGAGCCTGAACACTTAGTGGTTTTAACCCAGAAGTCATACCCCAATTTCTTGTAGAACTTTCATTTGATTTTATTATCTTTCCATTTATTTACCAAAACCAGTCTAACAGTGGACCAAGTACATTGCCAGTGGGGAAGTCTACACATCTATTAATGTGCCATAGTTATTGTGCATTAAGTTTAGTACTTGGTTAACCAAATACTAAATCAAAGCTCAATAACTCATGCTACTGCGCAGTAGTGCTGGTGTATAGGTTTTTAATGATACTTACTATGCAGTAGACTAATACTACTGTGCAGTAGCATATTAGCATGGTTTTTGCCTGGCATGGTACTGCAGTGTTGTTAGGCTACTGCAGAGTTAGCATCTTGTATAGATGTACCCAGTGATGAGCTGTGTTTTACTTCCAATTGATCTATTCTAGAAGATCAGTCAAATTAAAAATTGATTATCAACTGCTTTGTAGGTTCTAAATACCAGTATGGTGGGTTGGGTTTTTTTTTAAATATGAAGTAATGAAAATCAGAATTATCTAAAAATTGGAGTTTTCAGCTGTGAAATCCCTCAGGGTTTAAGAAGATAGATCTACTTTTCATAGGACACTTTTTACAAAGGTGTTTCAATGCTTCATACTATCTCCAAATGTGTGTAGTTTCTGGGAGAGAGAGGTGTGTTGCATTTTTGTGCAAAATTAATTTCTACTTGTGCATAAAAAATCCTCTAAGGTGGGGATAATGATATTTATCCCCTCCTTCATTAAATACTTTAAAAATTATGGCTGTTAGTAGTAAATAGCTAAATCTTACAACAGTACTTATTAATGTGAAATATATTCCATTTTACTTTTAAATGTGTAAGTGCATGTATATTATTTTTGCAGGTTTATATTAGTTAAACTGTTAGCAACTAGAAAGATCAGTAACGTTCATTTTATTTATCTTAGCAAGTTGAAGAAGACTGCTTGTTTTTTTATCACTGCAGTCATCCTAAAGTAAAACAGCTGCAGCCTATAGTACACAGTCCAAAATTACAATTATTTATCCAAAATTCCCCATGCCTTTTAATGAATTTTCATCTTGAAAACACACAAAACTAAAACAAAACCAAAAAATATCTAAAGCATGCTAAAGCAGTAGAGTAAAGCAAAACCCATGCCTGGTTTTGTTGATCTCTGTTCAGTAACCTTGCAAAGTTTTCCTTTTAATTGGAGAGCTTATGCCTAAGGACAAGCCTCAGTGTTTCTACTAAAGTAAAATTTTCCTATTGAGTTTAGTAGGGTTTAAATTTTCCCTATGAACTCCATCAGGACAACTTACAGCTATAAAGTAATGCACTTGATCATATTTAAAGGACTGGGCCCTGCATTGGGAATAGCAAAAAAGATACATGGGATGAATATCTCTGAAAACATGGAAAACTGCCTTTTCCAAGTGTGCACTCAGAATTCTATAGGCTTTCTTTACAGCTAAAATAAAACTGTACTTTATCTAGAATTTTATTTATTCTGTTCTTTGTCTTTGCTGCTTCAGCACAATGGCACCAACAGATCCCACAGCCAATAAAGTATCGACCAGGAGGCAACCGGTACGCAAACCTCGCTGGACAAGGACTTGACATTTTTTCTGCCTTCCCAGCTGTTGAAAGCCCAATGCTGTTTTCATCCCTATCTCAAAATGTGGTGGAAAGTGAAGAACTTTAAAAACCTATGGTTCCAATTATGCCTGCAGACATACGAGAACTGTGAAAAAACAGATGGTACAAGCCAACATCTCCAGGGTTTACAAGCAACTTGTTTTTAGTGAGTGTACTGCTGCTGGAACTGCTGCAAGTAACATACTGTAGAAGATGTTTGCATAATATTTTACTACAGGATGACTGTGGTATGGTGTGTAGTGCAGTAAGTTTGGTACTATGCCTTTTTCTAAGAATTATAAAGCAAAGAGACAGTTTTCAGCACTTAAAAGCCTATACCACATTTTACTGCTTCAGTTAAAGCTACTGTACCTGTAACAAGCAATGCTTGGATTTATGGTATTTAACTGGATACAGCCAATGAAAGCAATGGCATAATGATAGTTCTGAAAAAGGTGAACAACATGACTTTGAATGTAAAGTGTGTCTGATACTCACAAAGCACAAGTAAAAGGAATGAAAAAAGCTGTAACATCATTTTTATGTACTAGTATACCAAATGATACTGATTTGGTGATCAAGATTAGATAAGTATTAGCATTTCATGTAGATAAAGCTACCTACAATGCATATTTATATTTGTGTGTACATATACTCCATGACTTGTGTACCTATGATATATTGAACTATTCAGTAAGATACCGGGTATGTGCTTAGGACGCTAACGTATGAAACTCAGCATCCTGCATTGTATTAAGCACATTCTGTAGACATCACAAATGAAAAACTACTGTATATTTCCACACACGTTTCATATTTGTTCCTTTTCAGTTCTAGTGATTTCCTGCTTTTAAAACACACACAATGAAGATCTTATACCTTTACCATTTTTAAATACAATAGTTTTTTTCCATCTAAGTTTTTGACATACCCAGAAGAAAAAACAAAAACAAAAAAACCCCACATCTTCCATACAGTTCATTTGCAGACCTGATGAAAGAGGAATTGTGGCCTGGTATAATTAAAAGGTCTTTCAGGATCATTTTAAAAACCTTAGTGTCAGGTAAGGTTAAAATAGGGAATGTCTCCTCAGTAACATGCAAACAAGATGCTATTTAAGAAAGGGAGTGATTGTATAAAACGCTGAAGTGAGTATTGTACCCTGAAAAATAATAGGCAAAAAGTGCAATGAGTTAGAGACTCTTTCTTACAGCCTCATAGTGAACTTATTAGTTGAACAGTTTCAAGATATTTATTTTTTATATTTCATTAACACCTCCACTCAAGCTTTAGAGCTTTTGGTATATGATGGTTTCCTGCATATTTAAATCCTTGCTGAGCTCTCTTTCTTGGACCTTGTTTTGAAACAGTTCTTTTCTGCTTTACAGATGTTCAGAGATTACCACAAAATTCTAACTAGATTTATACAGGAATAAAATATTACATTCACTGATAATGTAATTTTAGATTTGAATTCAATTGTTTTTCAATTCCATGTTTCCTCACAGGTTAAAACAAGATGGCAAATTACTATTAATTATAAGTAACTACTGAATATATAATATTACCAGTTTAGGAATGCACGTGAAACAAATATAAAAAAATGGTAAAAGAATAAGAGCTAATAGGACACTGGGTCTGGAAAGGGAGTGAGCAGGAGCTAGCCTGTCCCTCCTAGATCATCTTCACATCCAGTCTATATTGTTGCTAACTGTTGGCTATGTAATGGTTCAGAATAAGTGAATTTGTGATGTTGGTCCACTTTCTAGTTGAGCAGAAACCATAACCAAATTATCATCACAACACACATTGTGCTTTGGTTGGCAATCTCAGCAAAGGCACCAAAGATTGAATGGGCCTGGTAAGTGAGCTATTTTCTCACCAGTAGGGATAGCTGTTCCACAAACAAGGTCCAGGCATATGGGTGAGAAGGTAGAAGTGCCACTCACTGCCAGCTATATTTCTTGATTTCTTTTTTTTTACAACAAAGCCTAACTAACAAAAGTGAATTCAAGGTTGTGGTGCCCAACTTGATGGACCTTGGGCCTGTTTTTCAGGAGTGCTGTGCATTCACAGCTCTTCTGGACTTCAGCACAAGTTGTGAGGGTTCAGCATTTTTTAAACCAGATCCAAAGGATGTCAAGTCACGGAAGAAGGTTCCCAATATTAATGGCTACTTTTGAAGTATTTGTTTCAGTACATAGAACCTCAGTCTCTGGTGCCAACAGTCCCCATGCTGCTTTCAGAATCTTTTATGTTTACATTATAACCTTCTGAAAAGGAAAATAATTGGATATTTTTTGCACTTGAACTAATGCTGTTTATGGTTTGTTTGTGTTTTGTTTTCCTAAAAAGCACTGGGTCAACTTCTACCCCTATCTACAACTCTGGAGTCTCCTATTATTTCAGGGTATAAATGAAAAGCAGATTTTGATCCTAGATGTTCAATCAAAGCTTTATATCAATTGTTATATTGAGATACATATAGACACCAAGCTACTGTGCAGTTCTAGAAAACTTACTTATCATTTCCTGAGTATTTTACAGTTATTCAGTAATTAAATGTGACCCAAAAAACCCCCAAACCTGCACAGGTTTAGATTGAATGAATCCTACTTTATTAAGTAATAAGTCCAAGAGCTATCATGTTACCTATATTCTTTGCATTGTTGGAAGACAAGAATAGCAGCACGTTTATCCTGTAAGTACATAGCATGTAATGAATACTGAGTTACCAGTGGCAGAATTATATTTGTTAGTATTACTGATGGCAGTAAAATCTCACAGCTTTACAGATTCTTAGAATGAGGTGATCCAACCCCAAGAAGCTATCTATGTAAATTAAACACAAAGAATACAGACCAAACATGCAGCCTGTCTCTCTTCACCCTTGCTCCAACTTTTACACCAGTATAACTTCACTGAATTTCACTGTAGCCTTTCCTAACTTACATCATAATAAGCAGGAGAAGAATAGCACCATGATAGGCAAAATGAAGGTCAAGTGACACACTCTTTTAAAGAATGAGTGTTCTGCACTTTGACAGCAATGAGGAAGGAGAAGGAGGAGGAAGTGTCATTGAAAGATTTTTCCCTGAAGAGATGTTTAAGAGGGTTATGAATGAAGTATTGACCCTTGGTCATTCAAAAGAAGTTGTGGTAATGTCCTACAATAGGAGACAGGCCAGTGCACATGGATTTCTAAGATTCAGCAGTCAAATTACAACACTCATCTTTCACTGTCTTGTTACTAGCTAAGGCTCAGATTCTAATCTCTCTCAGCAGCATACACTAAACATTGAAATTAATGTAGTTACTGTGAATGTATATGGCATAAATGAGATCAGTCTAGTACTAAACTGTCAAGTCTCTGTTATTTTCACCTCTTGTTAACAGCTACAGAATATTTCTGCTCTGCGTATACTAAGCCCATAATAGGAAGCTTGTGTGCAAACATTTTAATGCTAATAACTAATATTCTGACTGGGCTTTTGTCACAATGAAAACTTTGTAGAGAAAGACACAACGCATTGCATTTGTGCTGGTAACTGATTGAAGAACTGAGAAAAACTGGTTCATGTAAGCAGCTGAGGTCAACAATTAGTTAGCACTGACCACACATGATGTAATTTGAAGAGTTTAGATCCCATGAAGAATGCCACTGTGTAAAAACACGGTGTCAAGAAGCATTAGAGATTCTATGACTCTGTTTTCTTTGTAAATGGCTTGCTTGATGTCATTTTTTGATCCAACTGAGCAGTAAGTTATTTGACTTTGCACTAAAAATATATTCTGCCTTGTTTAGCAAAGGCTACAACAACAAAAAGACCCATGCCAAAATTTTCACATTAGTCATTATCTTTTACCTGTCCATTTAATAACTACAATACTAAGTAGAACTTTTCACCAATGAAATATGGGAACCCTAAAACTGTACACTAAAATAACTGAATATTTTAAAATTTATCCTGTTTTTAACTTTATTTAGCTTCCAATTCCTTCCCAGTCTTGTAGCTTCACATACGTTCAAACTAACACACAGGCTATTTCAGAGAGAAATGCAAGTGGCAACATTTTTCTTCAAAATTCTGGAAAGCTGAAGTGTTGCACCTTTGCTTCAAAGACATTAAACATGCAGACCCAATCCTCAGCAGCCTGCAGGCAAAATGTGCAATGACTGCAAAAGAACTTTTACTACAGGACAACAGGATTCAGCTCTCTTGCTTTGAAAGCAAATAAAAAGTATACCTTTTGAATGTCTGATGTATGTAACTGTAGAGGGCAAAATATAGTACACGCTTGGAAAAATAAGCCAGTATATGCAGGCTTTCGCTGAGTACTATTTAAACAGTTGCTAGTTCTAACTGTGTATAGTGACAAAAGCACTGCCAAAAAACCCACAAAATCCACATAACTCCTTAAGAACCTGCTATTAATACTAGAAGGATTAAAACATTAGTCTCCAGAAAGTGATTTCTTTTATCTACTAAAACTGTACCTAAGCAAACATGTGAAGCAAAGCCTAATAAAACATTTAATTGTTAAATACTGGACAAGTCATTCAGTGTCACCTTACTATTTTAAATATAAAAATATTAACTTCGAGCCTTAACACTGTATTTTTTCTTGATTAAATTGGAGTCTCTATTTTTGTTCCAAAGTCATCCTTAATGGGAGAAAAGGGGTTAATGAAAGTTCTAATATATATTTTAAGTGCATATGGAAGATATAAACACCTGACTGTTTAATAATGTATGCCCCTCACCTCACCAAAACTTAAATAAATGCTTTGGAGTTGAATACCAGAGTGTCTGGCATGTCTGCAGAGATTTATTTGCAACTGGGCTCCTCAGGACTTGTCTTATAGAACAGTTGATGAAGTCAATTGAAGGTCCACAGAGAGAGCTCCTAAAGAATCAGGCCCTAAATAACTTAGAGGAAAATTTGACCATGTTACTTGTCAAGTATATATTAACTGTGTTTCCAGTAAGCAACAGTTATAAAATATAGAAGCAATCTTTAAAAAAAATGGATATAGCTATTTCAACTGAAGTGAATATGCTAAATATGCTTGTGTTTTACTTTGTGCTCTTGCTCTTTTAGCGAAATTCTCTTCCGCTCCACCAGGTTTTGAATGACGAGGTGTAGACAGGGGAACCAGTGCAGGATTAGAGAGGATAGAACTATCCTTCTCACTGGCTCAGTTCTGTAAGGTGCTAAGCATTCTGGTCCCACTCAAGGCAAGCAGTTAAGTATATATCTAATTTTAAGTAAGGGTAGTCCCAGGAGAAGTCTGTGGGACAACCTGCATGCTTAAAATTAACAAACTTGGCTAGATCCTCAGAATGTTCCGCATTTACAAGATGAAGTTACAAGCTAAAGTCACGGATCCAGCCTGTAACCACTACAGCAACCTATGGATTGCAGTAGCCACTGATATCCACTTTGCTCAGAAGGTTTGAGTCAGGTGAGCCATGCAGATGGTAGATCTGCTAGCCTTGTTAATCATTCAGCCTATATTTAGCTCCCCTGAGAATGCCTAGCAAGTGGGCCACTGTAAAGTTTGGGAAAATGTTATGTAGCGGCTTCCAAAATGTCTTTGTACAGTTTTTGTGAAGAAGGGCATTTTGGACATGCCAAGTCCTGGTTGTGTTTGGGGCAGTGAGCATGGGCAAGTGGAATGAAAGCTAGTCAAACATGCAATTCACATACTGAGGGTTTCAGACCATTTTGCTCTTCCTCCGCATGTGAGTTTTTACTGTGAATGATTCAGCACACTTCTGTGAAGGGGTCCAGTATCAGACTTTGCAATTAATTTAAAATGAGCCATGTGTATAAATAAGGACAAGGATGTACCCCACTTTATGCAACAGTCCTGATTTTGCTTTCTTATATACCCATATTTCTCAGTCACTGCATAGTTTGACTTCAGTTGGTTTCTGTGACTGTTAGTTAAGAAGCTGTATTCTCAGATATAGTTCCATAAGCAAAATGGCTCTCATATGTTTCATAACATCTGCTGGAAGTACTAGACAGCTGCAGAAAATCCTGTGAGATTAACACTCTGGGACCCTGAATTCATTATAGCTAGGTAGAGTTACTTATTGTATAACATACAAATCCTGACCATATTATGCTATTAATTCTTAAGCTGAGTTCTCCAATGAAGTCAATGGGGAGTTCTGACCAAAAAATTATGGCATGATATTACCCCTTATTATGCAGATGACATACGGTTTTCTAAAGGTCAGCAGGTAAAAAACTGAAAAAACTGAAGTCATCAATCTGAAATGCTGGAAACCTGACTATGTACTTACTGCATTGTGTGATCTTTCCCTCTGCTCTCTAAAATTAGGAATGTGGGTACTTAGAGAAATTTCTGTCTAGCCTGGTACACCTTTTTACATAGTTTCCTATACAATGTAACCCTAATTACAAATTAGAAGAAATATTAGTGTACACAGTATTATGATTTAAAAGTTACCATTTGGAAGACATTTAATATGTAATGAAATATGATACATGCATTTTGCTTTGCATTTTTAAGCAATGTTTTCTTAGCATTTTATTAAACTTTGCTTTATAGCAGTATTTGAGAGCATTTTTTAAAACTAGCTGAAACCAAAGTGTTTGTAAAGATTGAGTTATGTAGGGGAATTGATGGACTGTTTCTTCAATGAATAAATGTATATTCTGAATACACTGTGGGTTTCTGAACTTCTTACAGTGAAAGAATAGTTACACACATTCAAAACATACATTTACAAAATAATTCCTTTTTATATGATAAAAAATTCAGAAATACTCGAGAGACATTTTTTAAAAATGAAAGAAAACTACCCATTTTGCTTACCAAAAATCTCAAAGCCTTAATATTAAAAAGTATTTATTACAAAGTATAGGCTACAAGAATATAAATAAAACATTGTTTAATGGACAATTTTTTTTTTAAATGAATGTTTGCTAGACAGTATGATGAAAGTAACTTTCCCTGTTGAAATCAGGGGGAATTCCACTTATTCATTAAGAAAACTTGTCTGGTATGTTTTCATACTATAAATTAAAAGTGTAATCCTGTTCACATTAACCAGGCAAGAGAATTCCAATGCCGCACACTTCATGGGACTATAATTCGAGTAAAACTAGTGGCAGGGCACTGTAAGTGCTGCCACTTTAAGGGCCTGAGCCAAGCTGCCAGCAGGTGCCTGATTGCAGCAGTCATTTTAAATCTCTGGCTGCCTTTATAACCGGGTCGGTTCCCTGCTGGCAGAGGAGGCAGCAACATTGCCTGGCTGCAAGGATGCTGGTATCATCCTGGAGGTAAGGGAGGAGCTGTAGTGGATGGCTTGGAGGCTCCTGGTCCTGGGCATGACCTAAAACTGCCCCCTGCCGAGAGTGGGTGGCCTGGTGGGGCTCTCAGTGGCATGGGAGCCCCCAGGAAATGCCATGCCAGTGATCACCCCGGTGAAAAGCGCTGGGGCGCCTTAACCCCAGCTCTCACGTTCTGGTGGGTAGAGAGCAACATCTGAGGCCAAGCACAATGACCTGCTATTCCAGGGGGGGGTGAGAGTGTCCCGTGAGGCCCTGGAGCACCAGTCATGGTGTGTGGAAAGGATAACATCAAGGGAGGAGTAGAGGCCAGGTAAGCTTCTGGAGCGCCTGAACCAGTTGGGGAGAGACCCTGCAGGGCTAGGCATGCTCCCAGGAGCACCTGAGCTGGGAATGGGGAACCCCATTCCAGAAAGTGCAGGCACGAGGTGAAGACCCCACTGAGGGACTCGACTGGTCAATGCTGGGGCCAGGACCTGAGGGTCAAAAGGGCCAGGGGCCCACCGCGAGGGACACCCATGATGAGCGCAGAAGCTTGGGGTCCCGACTGGGACTGAGACGGGGCCAGGGCTTACGGAAGCTGAAGGTCTCCATGGTTGGGGGCCACAGCTAATGGGCAAAGGCGAGGGTTCAGCTGACTGTCTGGGATGCCTTCTGCAAGGCTTGGGCCGCAGTGTAGGGGTGGTACAGAGCCGCAGATACCCCCTAATATTGGGGTGCAAAAATGGGCAGCCTCCCACCTTAGTTAACAACTTTTATTAATTACCAATAAGGCATGGTAGGCAAGACAGGCGGGCGGTGTGCCCAGAGGCAGGTGGGGAGCGAGTTGCAGTTAGTGAGAGATGCCCACCTCGCCACACAGGTATTATTTGTATTACGATACCACTTACAGACCCTGGATCACTCTGCCCCAATTCTGCCCAGGAATACAACCCAACATTAATCTCATTTAAGTCAATGGCAAAACTTCAACTGGCCTAGTTCAGTACTATAAGAGATATTTCTGACACTGCTACATGTGACAGCCATGTTACCAAAAAGTGACACGTAGCATTAAAATAGTATGACACACTGGGCATGTCTACACATTTGTTAATGCACAGTAGTTACTGGACATTTAGTTTAGTACTTGCTTAATGCAGTACTAACTAAATGCACAGTAACTAGAGTTACTGAACAGTAGTGTCAGTGCATGGTTTTTTTGTGACACTTACTATGCAGTAGCCTAATAACACTGCACAGTAGTGTATTAGCAGTTTTTTACCGGCACGCTACTACACAATGTTATTAGGTTACTGCGCAGTAAGTGTTTCGTGGAGACGTGCCCACTGTGTGCAGGCAAGTCAGTTTCACCAACCATGCTTTCACAGAATGCTATGAAAATGGCACACAGAACTGACATGAATAGAAACTAAGGAGGACAGAACTTCCAAAAAGCCAAAAGTAGAATTGAACTAAATTATACAATTTTCTATAAGCTCCATAGTTTAGATCAGCAAATAGAACATGCATTCGCCCTTTGTGGGGGAGGGGTGGGGAAGGTCTTTTGAAAGTTGCTTCCAGTCAGCCTAGGCAACAGGGGCCACAGGGGGTGCGGACAGCTGTCTTGGTTCAGTAGGACACTGCCTGCTAGCCCTGTGGTTATTGTGACCTGTCCCAATCTCCACATGGCTGGCAGAGCTGTCCAGGCTTCTGGGCAGCTGCCTCCTAGCCCCATGGGGCGCGTCCACACACGCAAGCACATGCGCTTGCAGCAGATCAAACAGAAGTGGTGCAAATTTGAGCTGGGGCTTTCTGCCTCAGCACATGTGCTTGGACATGCATTTTGGTGTGGAGCAAATTGTGCCACTTGGGGCAAAATAACCCTGCCTGGCTCCTCCTGGATCTGCAGCCAGGGGGAGCTAGAGCCCAGGGCCAGCACCTGTACAGTCCCCAGCACTATAAAAAGCCGCCCTGGCAAGTAGCTTAGGGCTACTCGCTCTCAGGAGCTTCTGGGACCCAGCCAGTTGGTACCTGGAGACACCCTCTACCCACTGCAGCAGTCTGGCCACGGGGGCTGCTGCCTGGCTGTGACCTGCTGTGCACCTGCCAGACCCGGATGGGGACTGCAGAGCCAGTAGAGGCATGTGCCCCTCTGGGCCAGCTGCCAGTGGGCTGTGCCTGCAGAGCTGTCATCTGTGCAGCACTACTGCCATGTTTGCCCCCTGCCTGGCGATCTGGGCAGCTATTGCCCAGAAGATGTTCCGGGTGTGGTGGCCTGCTTTGAACTGTCAAAGCATGTCCTTCTGGCCCCATTTGGCCAGGATGTCAGCCACAGCCAGATGGGTCCAAGGTGCCAGCTCTGAGCAGGCAGGGTCCTCACAGGAATTCTGGTGTCCCCTATTGGAAAACTGAAAAATCCCTGATAAAAAAATCCCAAAGTCACTCTGTAAAATACCCCCAAATCCATGTTTCTCCACAAGTAAAACAAAAGACCACTATAAAGAGAGAGTGAGACAGAGACAGAGATCAGTTGGACAATGACCCCTGCTGACTTCCTGCCCCTGGGGCAGGGGGCTGGACTCGATGATCTTCTGAGGTCCCTTCCAGCCCTGTCTATGGAATCTATGAAATCTATAGTGTTAAAGCATGTATCCTATCATAATAAAGTGAATGCTAAATACGTTTCATGAATTCATGAATATATATTTTGCTGCCCTCCCACAGGGGTCACAGCCCCCCAACAGGGGCTACCCCCACTGCAAGGCTCACATGCCCCACCCCAGCCCCCTGATTGCTGCCACAC